AGAAGTACGAAATTCGGAACCTTATTTTGGTGATAGTGACGCTTATTGCGGGGGTGACTTTCCAGGCAGGGATCAATCCACCAGGCGGGTTATGGCAGGATAATCAGAAAGAACAAGTCGCTGGAACCGCCATTTTTGCATATCGGAAACAAGCAGCCTTCTATGTTTTCTTGGTCTTTAACACCTTGGCTTTTACAACGTCAGCTTTTACCATTTTCTGTTTCACCCAGGGTTTCCCATTCAGTCCTGAAATACGACTGGCTGTTGTTTCTGTCGTAGTGACTTATGCATGTGCAGTTTCTGCCATTATTCCACCTGAATCGGCAAATCTTGCTTACGTCTTGCTCGTGGCTCTTCTACCTATTGTGGTACTGTCTTGGATCCGCCGGCGCGTTCGTGGAGAGTAAGCAAACGAGGGAATGTTTTGAGAAACGATGCAACAGATGACATGGTGTAGAGATTCTATAAGGACAAATCTCGGTAGAGTTCTCTTCATTTTTCCTTTAATATATAAGTGGGAAATATATAAATTGCTTTTAAAACTATTACTTTTGAAATAAATCTTCATCTAAAAGAATTATTTGATATAATTTGCCATATCTTAAATTTTTATTTTTAAAAAATTAACTTAAATTGAATGATTTTCATTAAATTTCGTTAAATAATTACACTTAAAATCTAATGAAAAATTAATGATAAATGTTAAATTGGAATAAATTTCTTAAAAAATAAAATATTAGATGATAAATTACTACAATATTTTTTAGGGAAATTTACTTTTACACGACAATTTTAAGAAAAAATTTTCACCTTTTGCCTTTTCTCTAGCATCTTATTGCTTGACTTTTATATTAATTTGGTATTCAAATGTGATTTGTGCTTTGGAACTGTTGTTTAATGCTGGATTGTGAACTTTAGATTTGCATAGTAGCTCTAAGCACTTTAGTTTTTTTTTTTTTTGGGTTTTTTTAAGGAAGGTACCAGTAGAGTAGTTAAGCCGTCAAATGCATGTTAATGTTTTGAGTATCTGTTATAATGAAATTTATCATTATTAGTATAAAGCCAGCACAAACTTTTGATTTGATGCACCGTTAGGTCGAAATTGCTATTAAATTGATTGTGGTCTCTCATCCCTCTTTTTAATTGCTAATTTTTCCCTATGTTTTTACCTTGTTTTCCAACAACTAGTAGGTGATTCTTAGGTCCCAAGTCACAGAGTGAGTGGAAGGGTAATAATCACCTCTTCACCCGCACCGCCAAAAATATACTCCCTTGTATGTATATTTTTCATAGGGAAGACAAAATTCATTGGAAATAGAGAATATATAACTTACCGTAATTTTTAGATAGGTATGTAAAGGACATAACTTGTAAAGGACATAAAAATTATACTTACATTGTGCTAAACGTTTCAATCAAGTGATTTGTTCTTTATTTTTTAAGTAAGAATATTTTTTAAATTTGATGTTTAAATTACTAGGATGATTTTTTCCTTTCTTTCATAAAATGTTAGAATTATTTATAAACTTTTTTTTTTTTTTTCAAAAAAGCTATACCTACATCAACTCTCATACCAGCTTTAGGGCCAGGGATAGACCCTCAGTAAGTAGTTTTAAGGGTATCCAATTGCGAATTGGTACGTATTTGAATTTATCCCGAGAATTTTTTTCTTGATGCCATAATAGACTAGATAACTAGTGATGGAAATATGCCTTTTATTTTTAACAGCAAATGATGGAAATATGCTTAACTAGGATGAAATGCACTTGAAGCTCGTTTCAGAAACTAATGTTGTTTTACTAATTGGTTGATTTTATTTTGGATATCTTATTCTAATCTTATGCTGATTCATGCTTCAGGCAACTCTTAGCAGCCATCCCGATTAAAATCGTCTCCAGATGCTACTAACCGTAAATTATAATAGGATATTTTTAATGTATCTTTAACATTATCTTTTTATTATAAATTTATATTAAAAAAATATAAAAATAAATATCAATTTTTGTATTATTATGATGTAGATGAATTTAATTATATAATTGATAAATGAAATATAAATTTTTATTTTTTTAATAAAAATTAATAAAAAAATATATTTATTGCACTTTCAAATTAAATATATGTTAGAAAAATTTACAGTAATAAATATATGGCTTCAAAGGAACATAAGCTTTGTAATGCTTTTGCTTCAATAGAAGGCATGTTGAGAGAAAAGCTGTCTTTTTACTTTGTTAGAGTTAAAATTAACTGGAAAATGCTCCAATTGAAAACTCATGAATTTTATTTTTTTGTTAAAGTAGATATTAATGAATTATACAATAAAAAATAGTTTTTTTTTCTAAATTACTCTTCGCCTATCTCAAAATTTGAATTTGAGATTTTCAATATGGAAGGTTGAGTTTTTAACTACTACACACTTACGAATCTGATTTGATTACATTTAATGTATATATGTAATATTTCTTTTTTGTAGCTTTTATTGATCGCAAGAATTGTTTTTTTTATCAGGTGTGCCATTATAGACTGGATAACTATTAGTGGGAACCTATTTAACTAGGATGAAATAT